AAATGCCCCCTTAACATTTAACACGATTCTCAATAAATTTGCCCAATGATCGTGTTGACTGTCGATGACCATTATAAACTTATGAAATTCTAAATATATTCTACAATACAACCTACAAATAATCATTTCTGGAATTTTAAATATAGCCCACAATTATATATGCAATTTTAAATGAACTGTACGATTACATCTGGAATTCTGAATGTACCTTGCGATACCCTCTACAACCATCTTCGGAACCTACCATTCAACATAATTCCCAGTAAATAGACTGCGGATGTTTATGCGTTTATGGCAAATGAAAATATTGGTCAACCTATAGAAATGTGTATTTAAGTTTCAATTCTTTTTTTGTCTCTCTGAACATATGAATTTATATAAACATCCGCAGTCTACTAATATATTTGTCCAAATCGTCCTGTTGATCGTCGATGGCCGTTATTAAGATATCCGTGGCATCGTGCGATATAGATGGTCAAGTGGTAAATCAGAAAATAGTCAATTTGGTTAACCCAGTTCCATAGACCTCGTTCACTCGGCGCACGCGACCTTTACATCTGTCGGTCGGACTAACCGAGATAGAGAGGGATCCACCTCAAAAGCTCCTCCACCTGCCATCGGACACCAGTGTGACCAGGCTGACCGTCCGGCAGAACGCCCACACGAATTGCTACTGCGTTATTTCGAGTGTTTTAGCCTTGGGTGGCGGCCAGAGAAAACTTTTGAAATATCGGGGAACGCCTGGGCTCTTTCTCGGCCATCGGGATTTCGAGATAAGTACAGAGTAGCACTAAGTGTCCACGAGTCGAGTGCACCGAGCTCGACACCAATAAACATTCTCATAGAGCATACAGAGTGTTTACCCACGGGTGGTCCATCCTCCTAGGGGATTAGATTTGTGTTAGGCAGTTACCTCCAGGCGTATCTCTACAGAGAAGAACGAAATGAAAATCAAACTGTAATTGTGTTCTAGTTTGAAAAATAATCATCTTATAGCGGTAGTCCATGATTTTGTACATCTTATACAATCCACGCTAATGTTACGAATGCGAATGTAACTCTGTCTGTCTGTTGCCTTTTCATGCCTAAACCGCTGAACAGATTTCGATAAAATTTGCCAAGGAGATAGATTCCATCCTGAGGAAGGACATAGGCTATATTTTATTTTGATAAAAATAAGGTTTAAATTCGAAATCTCAAGTGCCTGGTTCATGAAGGTGTTCACCGTGGTTGAACTGTCAGTTGAACGCAAATGACGTAAAATAGATTTACGTAGTTGCACGCAAATTACATAAAATACATTCACGTGGTTGAACTGTCAGTCGAACGCAAACGATATAAAATAAATAGTATTCCACAGGGTGAAACCGCGGAGAGCAGCTAGACCTTTATTGTGAGCAACTATAGTGACGACGTTTTTTTGTAGGAATTTTTATATGCATCGCAAGCGTAAATCCGATCTAGCGCGTGGCTCTAACGGAGCTCGAGCCGCGAAAGTTAATAGAGGAAAAGGGGTTGCATCGTTTGTATGAGACATATTTTGTTCGTAGTCCGATTTACTTCATACTTGATCTTAACACTTGATTTACCGGGAGCCTATTTATAGACTTTTTAATTCCAGTATTTAGCTTTTTGAATTTATTTACTGTGTTGATGGTTGTCTACTTATATTGTTCAGTGTTTGGAAACAGACTTGGCTTTCAATGTATCCAGTAACAGTATGGAGGAATTATCGACAGCCTAGATTGGCATATGCTACTGTAGAAAATTCTTCTTAAATTAAAGACTGTTTCTAAATAGCCCGGTAGATAAAGTGTTAATATGCTCATTGATACCATTAATGGTATATTCTTAGCAAACAATCCGTTCACCGATTTTGACGTGTTATATGTCGTTAGATTCGTCTTGTTGAGTACAGTACTAATTTCTACATTGTTTACAGAAATTCGTTTATTTGTGTAAAATTTGCTGTAAACTTTCAAAAACAAAGTATGGTTAAATGTCAAATGTAATTCTTTCAATCACTAGTTGTAAACACATCTTCGTAGATGAACAATACATTTTTAAATAAAAACAAAATTCCATGGGCTTTACCCACCCAACATGCCTATATCACCAAGTTAACATTTAATCCTGTAGGAATTTGAAAAGTAGCATTCACATAATTAACAAATGAATAAACATTTGTTACTATTTATAAATTGACATTTAACCATACTTTTTTCTAGAAAATTTACAACAAATTAACGAAATTCCGCAAACATGACATGGGAATTAGTAATGTACTCAACAAGACGAATTTAACGACATATAACACGTAAAAATAGAAAAACGTTCGCTAGAAATGTTTCCAATTATTTTGCTTTAAGGTTGCCTTATTTCCGTAAATGTATCTAGGAACTTAAAATTTAACATTTAAGTACGCAATATAGAATAAGAATTGTATTCCACGCGATTGGAACCGTGGGGCACAGTTAGTAGTAAGGTATATACAAAAATAAAAACAGTTATAGTTTCTTATACAGTTTCTATAATATGACTTGTTTAAAATGTCACAATAGTCATATTCGCACAGGATTCTCAAATGAGTCCAGAAGTAGAAATTTATAAAGTCATCCTAAGGTTAATAAGCTGCAATTCAAGAAACCCTAATGCTTCTGCAACATCCAGGAGGCATATGTTGCTTACAAGACCTGCATCAAAACCATGAAAAATATTATTAAATATACGAATACCCCAACCAATACACTCCTTGTTAAAATTCAGGGAACACTATAATTTCCCGAAAATTTTGGTCATTTCCAAATGACTGTATCTCTGCGCAAAATGGTCGCAAAAAGAATTTAAAAAAATGCATTTTAAAGCTGAAGTTTCTAGTTTTTGCACCAAGGACTCAATTTTTTTCTTCGTTCATTATAATACTGTTTTATCAAGATGAAGCGCAGGAAACGAAGTTTAAGAAATTTCTGCTTAGCTTAGCCGTATGCAAGGGCCAAAAATAATTTTTTCAAATAAATCCAATGGAAAGCTTTTATAGAGCAAACATTTCAAACAAACAAGAAAACTTTACCTCTGTATAATATTAGTACAGATTTTCATCGTTTGGCTATCAAATTCCAAGTGCATCGAAATTTCTTCCAGAGATATCCACGGATGTATCGGTATCTGACACAGATTTTGCAACTTCAACTCTATACTTACTCTTTTATTTCAGTTCTACATCCGTAGACATTGTAATGGGCGTGTCTCACATACCGTAAATCAGCAGTTGTTGTTCTCTCCTGTAGACCGTAGATCGTTGAACCGTCTGCCAAGATTACAACAAAAGTTACGACGTGCACCGTCACGTGTCAACCACACGTTCCCATTTACTACGGCGCTGTGTTGTGGAATAGGTGCTTTAAAATGTGGTCAAAATTCAGACGATTGATCTGTGAATACTCTGAACATAATCAGGAATAATCAGGAAAATAACACATAGAAAGTAATGAAAAAGAAGTGTCAATAATAATTACACTTCTTGGAATAGGTACTCTAAAGTTTGTCAAAATTCAGACGATTAATCTGTGAATATTCTAAATATAAGCAGGAATAATCAACAAGAAAAGCAACACATACAAAGTAATGTAAAACAAGTGTCAACAATAATGACATTTTTTCTTTGTTCTGTCTAATTCCAGCTGCCATATGTCACACACATTGAACATATCACATAGGCATAACAAAGTAAACATTTCTTGCATGTACCTTTCTCAATTGAATCAATGGTTTCTTAAAGTTCTCTATCTTCCCTTTCAAATTTAACTTTGTCCAGGAAGCCAATATCACCAGTTGTACGAGCTGTTCCTCCCCTCAAACAACTCTGTTGCAAATCATGGTGACTATAGTGAATTCTTGTTTACATGAATGTATAACGTTTACACTTTAATAATCACTGTCACAATTAGTTTCATCTTTACCAGTGCTGTAAATTTACTCATTTCTAGAGGAACTACTTTTCAGAGAACATTCTCCAACAAGTTTTATTTCATTGTTCACAGGTACACATGTCGTGGTGACCTTCGGCATATATTCTACACATGATTTTCTCATAAACTTTTCTCCTATGTAACGTCCTCTATCGTCTCCCAATTGCTTTAGAATAGATTTATCAAACGAGTGAACCTGCCCCTCACTTTGATTTTCAAAACTATCCACAGTGTTTCATGATTAAATTAAATGTAATGCTGTGTTGGCCAGTATACATTCATAAATTAATTAATCTTCAAGTTAAACAACAAGCAACAGAATCTCTAGAAATGTCTCCTATAGGATACATAGCGCAAATATTTTTCAAATTTTCCCCAGCATTGCTCTGTGCCCCCAACTAATCATATTATGCAATTAAAAGTCCTCCAATTGATTTACAATAGATCTATCGAGGAAGAGAACCTGCTCCCCGCTATGATTTCCAAAACAATGAAAATCATTTTAAACGCTCTTCTCCCCAAAACATCCAAAAAGGTACAATCTATCCCGTATCCCTGAAATTTTCTCCAACAGCCTTCGCAGCTGGAACTAAATATAAAGAACGTCATCGAGCGCAAGGAGCGAGAAGACGCTACTTGACGACGTTCGACGACGCTACAACGTGAAAGTGTCCAAGGAATTCTCGACGCCGGTGACGTCACGGAACGTCTGGTGTTATTTGGCACGGGCAGGTCCGTGACGTGGCCGATGAAAGGCGGAAAAAAGATATGATAGATGGACGAGCGCCGCGGCGATCGACGTGCGTCGTCGCGGGGCAGGGATAATTGGATTTTTCAAAGAGTACTACGGCTTTGGCAGCGGCGAAGCTCTGGCTCTCGACGAGGCACCAACGAGTATAGAAATAACAATAACGACACCTCGTGCGGAAGATACCCACTCATGATTTCTTGATCGAAAATTTAAATAGAACCTCGCCGTTCAAAGGAACGCAAATGAAGGTGTGTGTCCAACGTCCGGGAACTGACTCAAAGTTTGCTTTTCTTTCTTATCCTTTTCATTCGTTTTTCTTTACAATGGTGTGTTCGCTTATCGTACGCTGGTATCAAAAACATTCCGAGATAAAACGGGTTCATTTCGTCATCTCGGCGCTAATACTTCACTGTCGCTCGCAACTTGACTTTTTTCCACTTTGTCTATTCCCTCGACGTATGTAATCGATACTACTGACGCCCGATAGAGAGCAATCGAAAATTTATCCACACTTGCCCCGTCGTGACGTTCTGAACGAACGGTATTGCACAACCCTGTCCGATCAGTTTGGCGCCACGGACTTCTTGAATATGCGATGCATCATCCAGGCGATCATCCCACCGGATAAGACGATTCCGCTCCTGAAATTTAAAGCGATTGGTGTCGAACAATTGCACGTGGTTGCGCTAATATATAGTGTAGGAGTCTCTACGAAAAATAACCCCTTGCACTACGCTGAAACTTGGAAAAAGCTGTGCCAAACCTGTGCGTCCGAATGGTCGCACTTAAACTTCACAACGAGCCTGACTCGTGATTTTTAAATTTGGTATAAAATTTGCATCACGAATCAGACTCGTGAAAATAGTGGTTAAGGAACGGAGATTCGAACCCACGATCTTTGGATCTACAATAGTGATATCCTGATGGCGTTTGATACGTATTTCCTCGGTTCAACGTTGTTCTGGGGTGTATGTGGAGTAGTGATGGCATGCAAAATCACTAACCGTTATTTATCACAGTGATCGCAAAATCACGATCACGATGGTGATTTAATTTCATTCACAAGGCTGATCGTGATTTAATTTCATACACGAGCGTGATCGTGGTTCTTTTATCTAGCTAGAATTGCGTGATCACAATTCTCGATCTTAATTAAATTACTTTTTATAAAATGTTTCAATATACATAGTTTGCATAAAAAATCCGCATATAATATCAATTTCAATTTCCTTTATTAAGTAAATTAGTAGATCATTTATTTTGTGTGGTGGCTACTTCAATCCCATGCGAAAGAATATTTTCTAAAGCAGGATTACTTTTAACGGAAAAAAGAAACGGATTGCAAGCAGAGAAATTCTCTATGCTATTATTCTTGAAGAGCAATACATAGTTACTTATTTGTTATTATATATATTTTATTCCATTGTTATTTTGTTCTTTGTATTTTATTTATAGTATTCGTATTATGTTTTATGTATTAATTATATTATTTTCTAAAGTGTTACATTTTGTAAAAGTCTAAACACACTTACAACTAAACTAAGACTTGCAATTTGCATTTTATTTTCAAATTGATCATGATGCCAATTGTCGTCAATATCGGTATTGATTATCTTAGAAACATTATATAATTAAGACGTGAACTTCATTTTGCGAAAAAAAAAAACTAAAATTATTTGCGAAACTGTCGATCTATTAGTGTGTGACTTGAAAATTAGACGGGGTTATATAGGATTAAAACAAATTTGATAACTGAATAAATAAATAAATTATTAAGTGATGTGATTATATAAACAAGTATTAAATGAAGACTATTTTGTGCATATATTACTAATAATTTGGAGCTTATGAATCATTTCTCCTCGCTATTATGACACACAAAATGACAATTTCAATACGTTTCACTGTAGAAATTTAGCATGGCTAACACGGAAGCTACCAAGCGAGTCAATTTGATCTACATACAGGTTCTGTTGTGGTCTTAAAATTAAGGCAATTAAATTTGCTGCAACTTCATTTCTCATAAGTTTAGTGTAGGATGAGTATTTATATCAATGTATCGGTCGAAAGTTAAAACTTCCACTTTTTCGGAAAAATTGCCAATTTTCGCAGAACACAGTATCTCTAGAACTAAATAGCTACGAAGCACCAACACATCTACAATTGTAGACAATTGTGTCTACTTAAAAAAAGGTAACTGTAATGATTTCTCTCGTCAGAATACTTCTTTGGTGACTTTGTTGCGAGAAACTGAAAAAAGTGCGAAAATTTCGCGGTAATTTTCGACTGTAACTCGGTTGGCTTTTATTTTTGAGGGTTGCAAATCTAGATTTATAGTATCTGAGTGGTTCCTAACAACATATCAAAAAAACAAAGTTACAGTATTTACTGGAATTTTTTTCAAAAAAATTGTCTAATATGACTGGCCTACAAAGGAATGTCTCTCTTTTTTAAGGGTGACATCGCATAATCACATTATTTTCTCTATTATTTGTATTTTCACAATAAAGTTTCTCGAACACTAAAGAACGTGTTTGTTTACGTTATTATTTGACCACTTCTTCATTTTCCTAAATTTTACAATAATAGGTATGACTATTGATAGTTCTAGTGTCAAGTGGAGCAAGAAATTCTGTTCAGTAAAGAAACACCTTCTTTCTTAATTCACAAAAAGGTCTAGAAAAATTGCTATATGGATTCGTCTCTGCTAATCCCTGTTTTATGTAATTAGGGTTTCGTAAGGTTCGAGGAGAAGCAACCGAAAACGGAGCGTCTTCAACGGTTCAGGTTTTAGTATTGGGTAACGCGATGGGTGCCACGCAGTAACGCTGCCTTCGCAACAATTGGCACTGCGATCGACGCTTGTGCATCTACGGCAATCTTAGTGCTAATTAGAGATTTTGCGGGCACAGGTTTTGCGGCTCGGTAAGAAGGCCCCATTAATTTGTTTGACGTAACGTGGATAGTCTCGTCCGCAAACACGAATCGAATCTGTACCTCGCACATTCGTTGGGATCACGATTACGTCACGGGTGAAGAATGTTACTGAATTGGTGCCAGACCTGGGCATATTTGAATTAAAATTAAAATAAGAAGTATTAGATTGGCCAAAAAATTTGTTCGAAAATCCCGGCGAAATCGCGAAAATTGCCGGCTCTAATCGTGAAATATTTTGTCTTCGGGGTCAACCAAGAACGAATATCTCGTTCGCTTTCGCGAAATAATTATTCTACCGTACCAACGGACTACATAATTTTAGGATCAACGATAATGCAGTCAATTATGCGGCGATAAATGTCCCGGGCCGTTAAATCACTCCGACGGGCCACACACTTGCCTACCAGCCGCGCCGCGATTCCGCGTTTCGTTTTGGGGGTTTTAAGGAATAGGTTTTAAACGATATTTCCACAACACTGCAGTTTAGAGCCGTAGTCGTTGATGGTATGAAATTTTTTATTATATGAAATTATTAAATTGACGCTACTTTGTGTGTAATTTACGAATGTTACAAAAAAGTATTTTTCCTTAATGGAGAAATTTATAAATACATCAGCATAATTCTCGCAACGAGTAACGCAATTTGAGCAACCTCAAAGAATAAAGCATAAGGTGAGAGTTCCTACTATCAAAATATTAGATGTAGAAATGAATTCTGTACCTTTACATTCATTTGTTTATAACTGTAGTGTAAGTAAAAATACTCATCATTTTGTTATGTTGAATTATCAACCTTCTAAGTTCTCAATCTGATTTTAAATTAATTACAATATAATATAAATCACAATGATACTGTACATAATCAAGTCTCACGGCCACTCTGACGGCCATTACAATTTATCTATAGAATTCAAAGTTCAGTAACACTGTTCCTCTAATATACAAAATACTGTATACCAGTTTAATTGACAATTATCAAGTAGAGAAATTAATTCTGTATATCTTCATTTACATAATTAATTATAATTCTGGTTCGAATAGAAAGGCACCGAATTAATGTCTACGCCTAACAATATTAAAGCTGAAAATATTTAATTCATGCCTGTAGGATTAAGAGAAATTAGGTCAGAAAGCTTTGTTCCACGCGGCCACCTATTGTGCAAGTGGTAATCATTCACTAAATGAAATATTTTTCCTGCGAATTAACGTAATAGTGTTGATGATTAAGAACATAAATTTTCGGTATACATACCATAAAAAGACCCTACTCGGAGGAGCGTGCCTTATAGGGTTGTATCGCGCCACTTGCAATTCCGTGTTGTTCTTGAAATGGTTCAATATGTCCAGCGCGCTGAAACAGAATTTTTAAAGCGGCCACGATTATAACACGTAGGTAAAAATAATTTTGTATCGATTACGTTAAGCATTGCGCTGGCCTGCACCGTCGTTCAACACGTAGCGCAAAGGTGGACGAGGAATTAATTTATCAATTACTTTATTATACAATCGGTCTTGGAACTACTATCTATTTTATTACTACGTTTTAAAAATTAAGGGAGCAAATCAATTTATGAATATATTAAGTGTAGAATTTATATTAACTAGGTGTAGTACTTAATTATTTATAACAATTTGTAACGTGGCACATTTGATCATGTTAGATTACCATCATAGTAATGGAATACACACGACAATTGGTCTTATAACAATATGTGCTCTCTTAAAATGTGTGACGAACTAACTCCTTATTTCAGTAATAGTCGCGACAAAATTGCAGCAAAAGCATTGTTTGATTAATTAATCCCAAAAAAAGTTTAGACTATGTAGGTCAAATTGATAGGTTTGGTAGTTCCAGTATCGAGAGTTAACGGATCAGAAATTCTATTTATCAACAATTTGTAGGACTTAACAGTCTCATGTTCCTCGTTAGACAACCATATATTAACTTATTTCATTAGTTATGTAACTTTTGTAAATATAATTCAATATTACAATTTTTGGTTCCGATAAAAATAATTTAGCCGTTTATGAAGTTAACAATAACCATCTAACGTGTGTGTGGGCCTTTATTTGACCAGGACGTCCAACTGACAGTCCATTCTTGTATTTTTGGGTAACTCGTCGAAATTGTCCGTAAAGAAAACTCAGTGGTGAGTTGATTTTCTTACAACATAAATATACAATTGTGATCATTGGGAATATTACTAAATGCAATTTATTTTGTACGTCGTTTTGGCACTTTTAAATACGTCCTACAAAAAGCAACCTGCCTATTTGAATGTAAAAACGAAAAAAAAAGAGAGAGATTATACACTGCGAACCATAACTATAGCACCATTGATAATTTTAAATATATCAAGCTTTTGAGTAGGAATAAAAAAAGATCAATTACAGCTGAAAGGATATGATAAATGATGATTTTTAAATTAATCTTTTCGAAGTTACTCTTAAAAACGACATGAAACAATTTAAGTAGTGATTTTCAATTGTTGCATAATGATAGCATCCATATAAATAAACGAATTTCGTTAGATTTAGAATTGCGACACGCGTGGATGAACTCACTAATTTCCTTTTTAATAAAGTTAATATAATACATTAAAAAAATGACAGGTGGTACATTTTTCTTAATGCTGAAGAGAAAGGTGAATTTTAATACATCGAGTGGAATTTATTGTCAGCATCCGAGGAATTGCCCGTAGACCGGGAAGATCTCGCAATATTGTAATAAACTTTTTAAGTAATCCAACCAAGTATGGCAACAGTGGCGGTTCAAAGAAAAAACTGAGTTCATGTGCTGAACGAGTAATTATAAAAGTTGCCAGTATCTCAATAAATTCTAGTAATCCAAAACCAAGAGAATATAATCTGAATAATTCACGATGGATTGTACATCAAATCTTTAAAAAAGCTCCTAACGTTGTAAAACAAAAGCGAAAGTGCACCTGAACTTTTTACACAGAATGAAATTGCTAGATTAAAGTATGATAAAACATGTATCGAAATTGGAAAAACGCTAGTTAAGTTTATTATTCGTTGAAGTATTTTTTAGGACTTTAAGTAATTTGACCATCTCTTATTGGTTTCTAGAAATGTTCAGACTAAAGAATTCAACATTAATGTCTTGATACGTTCAATTCATACGATTCTATTTCATACTAATTCAAAAGTTTGAAATGTTTAAAGGTGCTATAGTTATGCTCCGCAGCATTCATATTAAGAACCACGATTAATAAAATCATTCACGTAATTCAAATTCATTGTTTTCGAATTCGCTTGAGTCCAAACTAATTAACTTAATGTAACGAAAGTAATATGTGAGTCAGAGCCAGATTGTTAATAATGAGACCCTGACCTCGACGATGGGTAAGTAAAATACAATATAATCAAGCGTGGAATCTCACTCTCATCTCGCACCTATCAACAAATCGTGTAATTTCATTGAAAACAATCGTTAGGGATTTGCATAGTTTCTGAACGAGGTATGCGCGAACTAATACAAAAGTTCGTTGGTTAGAAACGATACAGAGACTTTGGAACAACGCCAGTGGCGAGAAGAAAATCTGACGCTTATAATATATGAACGTCGGTAGGCCGCCGCGAGTGAATTGTGTAGAATAGCGGTGAACGTGAAAGAAAATGCACCACGCTCGTGAAAATGCATACTTGATAGTGGGGCATCGGATAATTCATTTTGTTCTAATTCGGGAATGATGAAGTCACCTGATTTGCGTACCCCCAATGTGCGCGACGAGCTTTATGGATTGAATCCTTCTCTTTGTGTTCTTAACAAAAGTTATTGGTGCAATTTGGAACACCATCTACCCTCGCAAGAGAAGAGAATAAGTATCGTCAACTTTTGAAATTTACGAAGCTCTTAATATACACAAACATAAATGCTTGTCGTTAGCTGATTAATATACTTCTACCGAATTGTTATTTATATTTTTATTTATAATAGAATTTTAACCTGGGGTCATTACTATTACCTGCGAATACAGTAGAAGGAAAGACAAAATTGGGAAATCAATATTTCAAGAATAATTTCTTACTCCTGCCATCAAATATTTAACTACGAAAACAGCCCATTACATACAAAAACTACAAAATCATAGCTTTAAACTAATTTTACTTTTAATTTATGTATAAGGAATTCTTAAATATTTCAAAAAATATAAAAGCGCTATTCGACTTAAATGCAAAAGATATACTCAATTGCCGACTGCAATAGAAACCTGAAAGTGAGTTTTGTCAGAATAATGTCACATTGTTCTTGGTTTTGCAACAATATGAAGAGTTTTTGTTACGAACTATACGAATGGAGATATACTAAAAAATATTGTTTCAACAATTTCTTGGATAGGATATGGTTATTAGACAGTTAATGGAACAATAAACGCTTGGGTAGACGAAATTTACGATGCAATTTAAACAGTGAGACCGAACGATATTCCAGTTCCGATAGTTCTTATGTAAGTGCTCATTGTTTCGACAGCTCGTCGAATGAAAAGTAAACCGATTTTAATGGATTTGCTTGAATCCGATATTTAACTGGCGGCGGCTTGTGATTCCAAGCTGTCTGAATTAAGAAAACGCGACCGATTGTTCATTCTAGATGCCCGAAGAAACAAACTGCATGTGAGGATTGTTGTGACTTTGTGAGTACAATGATTTGAGACCGCGCATAAAGCAGATTCGTCGTTGGTCATTTCTTCTCGTCGACCACGTTTTACGTCTTTTCAGATTTGTTAAGATCCTTGAGACATAGTCTTGGTTCATTGATATTTTTATTTTTATACAATTAATTACTTTCTCCGTGCTAAATCGTTTAGATCTAAATTTGATAAAGGTAGTATTGATAAATGAATTATTCCTTGTACTGACACTGAAATGGAAAATCAAAATCAATCCTCTAGCGAATTATGATTAATGGTCACGTGTGTCATCAACTGTAATTCTCGACTCGTTATCAATGCGCCAGGAAAAGAAATACATAAACGAAGTTATGAATTCTTCTTTTCCACGAAGCAATACACATAGAACATTTTTAATGATATTTTCAAATAACAGTTGTAATGAGCAATAATAGACAATCATGCTGTAAATGCCACAAAAGTTATTCACATTTCATCCTGCTTGTCTACCTTATTTGTCATATATATGTGAAAATAAATATGTACATATGAGATACATTCGTACATTATGCGTATCAAGAATTTAATTTATACTAAACGTTTATGTAAGAATTCCAATGGTCTAAATAATCTTCAAGGGATCTTAGGTCGTTTACCTTTTCCGCTGATATTTATAGCGTTCCTGGTGATACTCTACCGACATCATGTACGATTACAATTAATCATTTTTCGGCAAGTTTATATCCAGCTCCTTGCATTCGATAAAACATATTACTCGTCATTTTATTCGCACGTATTTTCCATTCCGTAATTGAAAGTAGTTGTCTTCCGCGTTAAATAAAGAGAGACATTCTATCGCACGCGTTCGCATATAGTTCTTTCGGCACAATATCATTTCGGAATACCAGGGGAGGTCTAACCCGAGCAAATTTTGGCAAAATGAAAATGCAGTTACGTCGTATAAAATCACGTGCACCGATATTACACTTTGTAAGTGCAACGATGAGTATACGCGATTGCCCTTGGATATGATCCAAAATAGTTCCGCCACCTTACTTCGAAGCAGCTTCATACTAAAATACCAACTGCGTACTTAATACCTAATTATATTTGCCCGATGCGTGAAGTAAAGTATAACGGGTAAATAAAACGATTACCAGACTTGTCAATTGGCGCTCGTACGGTGCCCGTTAGAGACTCTCAATATGTTACGAATCATCTAAGAGATTCGCTGTACCCATCGTTTCCCTTTAATCTCTCCATTGTTTTGTTAACCCGGATACTGTAGCGTGCAAAATGTAAAATATGAGTTTCTGTGAGCATGTTTCATGTCAGTTTGACAGGCTGCAGCGGGGTTATTTGTGCCCGACGACAACCGAGTTTAAATTTGTTTCCCTCTGAACGAGATATCTGTTTGAAAGGCTTTATGGACGCACCAATATTTGCAATTCGTAGGATGAAGATATACGCAACATTGAACGACTGGTTAAAAGTTTTTACTATCTCAAAGTGAGACGAGTGGTTTCTTGAAAAATGTTTGAATTCCATGTATCGAATAGGATTCAACAAATGTAATTTGTTTATTTAATATGTTGCTTTATCTACTTATTATTAAATGAATAAACCATGCTTGTTCAACAATATAAGCCACAATACCTGCCTTGAATACATCAGATGAAGAAAGCAAGAAATTTGACTCACCTCCTATGGTTCGCGACAGCTACTAAGACACGTTTCCGAGCGAAAGGCATCACATCCACAGGTCCAAAAGATGAAAGTTGTACGGCTACCTAAGATAGAAATTTCTGATTGAAAAAACAGTAATAAAAATAATTTTAAGAGAAAATTTCTTATGTGATTATAGAGTCCTACCTCTTTTATATCCAAAGATGGCGATTTTAACTTCACGTGAAGCCATTCTGACCTCGTTAACGATGGATCATCTCCATCTAGTTTCTGAAACATCCGTAATTAAACTAAATTAGAATGATAATCATAATAATAAATATTCTTTCTTACCAAGTACGTTTCGTTGCCTCTTATTACATTTATGGAGTTTGCAAAATCTTTTATGGCACTCATTAATTCAGTATGTGTCACCGTCCTGTCTGCTAAACCCCTTAAGTTTAGAAAAAGTTCATAACCGTTCGGAGAGTAAAATCGGAAATATCATCAATAGTGAAATATATTTATCATAAATTAAACATACTTTCCATATTTCCCTACGGTAAATAAGAATCCCATCTTTATAAATATGTACCCAGCATAGTACGCATCCCATCCTGCATTATGATAAAAATGTTCGTCTGAAAATAAATTTAAAATCAATTAGAAACTTCTACCTGAAAAATACAGCAATGTTCATTATCATAAGGAAATAAAGAAATTATTACTTAAAGAATCATTTTCAAGCTGTACAGTTGGTGAATTGACTATACAATATTTCCCACGATACAATGTAAAATATTCGTATATATGGCTCAATGAATTTATTTTCCAATTTGCTTGAAAAACAAAATATTTCTGTTAGTTTCAATATCATTTGTTTATAATTTAATTCTTTTAAAAATATTCTCACCATTTTTATTCAATACTTTCTTCAATTCAATACTCATGAATTTTGTATCATATATTTGTGGAAACAATGTATGGATATTATTTTTGAATTCTATATATTTATCTGGAACAAATGTAATTTTTAATTATAAAATTTTTAGAAATTTTTTCTGACTATTAAATGTACATCTTAATTTGTATTTGGATTTGTAGTTACTTGGCAATGGTCTATAGAACTGTTTATGTATAAACATTAAGTCCAGAAATACATTATGTCCTACGATTGGCTTCTTTGCATTAGTCAATAGCTTAAATACTTTAGAGAATCCTATATAGCAATCTAACAATCCTTTTTCCAGTAAACCACCTTCTTCTTTTTCTAAAACTGAACGAATGTCTTTTGATACTCTTAAAACTGTTACCTGAAAGACAAAAGCAATCTTAAACACTGTTCCAATCTAGATAGAACATTGATAATAAGTAATATTTCTTGCATACTGATTTACATCCTGACACTGTCCAAATGTTATTAAAACTACTCCTCAATTCTCTGTGTACCATATATTGTAAAATAGGAGAGGCTGTTTTTATCTCCAACGAGACTTGGTTTGGAGAACGTTTTAACCAATTGAAAACTTTATTTTTACAGTCTTTGAAGTCATCTTCTTCTTCATATGATAAATGTTCCATGTTTTTGGACAAATTACCTTCATCCAAATGTTGTTTTAGTAGCTTTTCATCTATCTCATCAAGATACGATATTCCTGAGTTTGCAAACTGAAACATGAATTGCATTATTTATGCGCTACACACTTACTGGATTGTATTTAACCCTTTGTACTCTGTGAGCTTCGCACATTCTGCTCCACCAGTACCAAATTGTGCATACTTATCTCATCTATCTTAATTTGCTTTAAAAATTTGGCGATATTAAAACACCTGTATCTTTTTAAATAATTACACAAATTGGAGAATACTTTGTTGTATTGTTTACTTAAGTTTCCTTTACAAAATGAAAAAGAAACCACTGAAATATCATTATTCTCTTCTTGCAATTTAAACATTTTTTAATACAAGCGCCAGCAGAGTAAAAAGAGTTAAGTTATTTCAACATTTCTACCACATACTTTGCCAAAGTCAAACTTATTTGCAGAAAGAAATTCTAGAGCAGCCACTTGCCACGAGAATTGTCTGTTATTGTATGGTACAGATCTTGGCATCAAATAGAAACTGTAGCACTGTACGTTGTATCTATTTTCCCTGGGTACATGTTGAAATGTTGCAATACCACATTGAATTATAACAAATGGCTGAATGTTGTTCTTTATATTTTGATATCGGATATCAACTGTATCGAAAAGGCTGAAATGAAATAGTACGAACGATAATAAATGCGGTCATAATACAAATCACTTCTAAATATTGAATCAAACTAACCTATACTTGAAATCTTCACCTGACTGTATTCCCGTAAATTCTGCGTCGATGGCAATAAACGATGCATTTTTAACATCGTTTTCCAATTTCAGAAAATTCTCATTGAAATTATTCTCTAAAATTTCATTCATGATAACACTTCTATATATGTGCGCTACGTACCTAACCTTTGCTTAAAGCGGCACATGTGATTGCTTACAACTTCCAACCTTATTTTGACGAGTGATTGTAGCACCATCATGTTTATTTTCAAACTCCTCTGATTAGAGTTTTAATCGTGGATAAAATATTATTTAGTTTTTTATTTGTTTTGACTGTTAAAATATGTTAAATAACAATGTTTACAGCGCAATATACATTCGAGGATGGCATCCTTAAAGCAAACATATCGCAGTAAATAACATCGTTTCATGAATTAACTTACATAGTATTTATTCGTCTTTTGCTTTAAGTTTCAAATACAAACTTGATGATTAGTTTATATTATGTGGTAATCTTACGTAATAAGTATAATACATAGTAGGTAATTATTCTTCATTCAATGATGTTCTAATCCTCAGATGGTATGACCATCTTCAGGTGAGGAATTTTAAAACTATGTATGAAAATAATATAGTACATACAAAATACACAATACGAATGAAAAAAAAAAGAAAATGGAATACGTTTGTTTGTATCTATTTCGTTAATTTTCATTCTCATTTTCTTTAATAATTTTGTCTTTTTTTTTATTATTATTCTTGATTTTTATAGATATTAGTTTATAATGAATTTTAAAGTTCCTCACGTGATAAAGAATGAAATATCATCTGGTGCTTAAAACGTTACTTTTTTAAATAACAACTACCACTTGTAATCAAATGAAAAATGAAGTAGAAGAAAATAGTATTAGTTAGATTGTTTTAGCTGCAATGAAATATTTTCTGGTTCTATTTGGTATGATTGAGAAAATTGCTGAAAACGAGTATAGTTGATGAACTTTTCAGAGCAAATTAAAAACTATATTTATTCATTTCTTAAGGTGGGTATCTAGTCTAGAGAGCGAAAAACAAGCTTATTTCCGAAAACGTTTTTTTCGAATGGAAAAAAAATGATTTAAAAAAAGTCGAGTCCTAAAAAAAAAAGGTGTTCCCATGGCGGACAAACAATCTCCGAATTGGCACGTTTGAAACAAAAATAGGAAAGAACTTTTTAAAGAAAACGATTTGCCACGTAGTAATTTACCAGATTTTTGGAAAAAAATTGATAATATAAAAATTCACAGGACGCATACGGTACAAAAATAGGTCGACTCTCGTACAGTGTTCTTCAAATAACCGCCATCTTTTTTCTATTATCGATGATTGGCAAACGGTGGTAAATACCACGTGGTAAACATTCCTCTTTAAAAAGTTCTTTCCTATTTTTGTTTCAGACGTGCCAATCCGGAGATTGTTTGTCCGCCATGGGAACACCTCTTTATTGAGGACTCGACTTTGGCGTCCTCTGAAAATTGAAAAAAAAAAAAAAACGCTGGACGATGTAATCTATTTTTGTTCCATTCTATAAGGATAGCATTATGTTCTAGACAAATTTTTAATTGTAATATCTAATAAAGAAGCCGGGAAAAAACGTTTTCGAAAATAAGCTTGGTTTTCGCTTTCTGGACTAGACACCTACCTTAAATGAAAGAAAAATATTGAGTGATCAATTAAACAATTTATTGGCATGAACACTGGCAATGTTTCGACCACAACTACCTTGGCCCTCTACGAGTTACCTAAAACGATACATTTTACTCTAATAATATAAATAATTTAAGAAAAAAAAGCTCACGTATGTATAATTTGACAGTTTCCCACCTGAAACGTTTTTTAAATAAATAATGATCAACACTGTAATAAAATGAAAAGTAGAAAATAAAAAAAGACTAAAGAGATGGAATTAATATTTTATTAATTCCAAGAAAGCCAAGAATATACAATGAATTTTTAATATAATTCTTTTTAAAACTTCTTCCTGTATATAAATTGTCTATTAACGCTAATTGTTTGAAATCCATTTTTAGAAGATAAAATTCGAACACAGCCGCAGATTATGATTCGTGGTTACACTATAGCTTACTTGTAGTTGGTGTAATAAAATGAAAAATAAAAAATATGGGAAGGCCAAAATGATGGAATGAATTTTTTATAAAACACTTCTTTCTGCGTTTGAATCGTGTATTAACGCCACTTGTTCGAAATTTTTAGATTATAAAATTCAAATATATCCGCAGACTGTAACTCGTGGCCATAATTCGCGAGGTTTGAAAGGCAAGTGGAAGGCGCGCGAACATTTCCGCAGTTGAAAGATCTTTCTTTTTAATCAGGAAACAACTCTCTCTCTGGCAATGAACTTGCTGGTATCGTGTTAGTGTAGCCGCGACCACGAAACTGGCCAGTTCGGGCTCTTGATCGTTTCGCTCCAGCAATAGAAGCTCGAATAACGTTATTGGAGCACAGGCCACCCTCGAGATATTTCAGCAATGTTCTTCCGATTGGCGATTTTCGTCGGCCTGAGTTCCGTTGTCGCAACCATAATCTATCTGACGCCCATACCAGGTCAGTTTTCATTCTATACGTCAATCTACTGTCATCTTTTACTAATCTAGACATTTATTGGCATCATAAGCACTTATTGGTATTTGATTTAAATTTTGTATTTCATGGTTTGGATTAGATCGGTTTCCTAAAGAATTTATTGATATAAGCACCTATTTGTGTTTGCATCGAACTGGATGCAATCCATCAATTATTAATAACAATGGTTCTATTTTTGAATGTTGCTGTACTGTCATATACTATGGAATCTAAATTTTGTGTATCATGGTCTGGGTTAGGTCAGTTGTGTCGATTAAAATGCATAGATTGCAGACTGCAACGAGGAATTTATTGCCATAGACATTTATTGGCGTTTGCATTACTTTGAATGTAATTTATTAATTATTACAACGTTCTACGAATTTGAATTTCGTATTTCATGGTTTGGGTTAGGTCAGTTTCCTAAAGAATTTATTGATATAAGCACCTATTTGTGTTTGCATCGAACTGAACGCAATTCATTAATATTAACTAACAATGGTTCTGTTTTTGAATGTTCGTGTGCTGTCATGTACTACGAATCTAAATTTTGTAATCATGGTTTTGTTAGGTCAGTTATTCCGACCAAAATTGTATTCTACTATTATTGTTTATATTACATTGAACATAATTTACAAATTTACGAATTTAATGAAATATAATTTAACGAATTTAGTGAAAATTAATTTATTGATTTTAATGAAATTCATTTGAACGAATTTAACGAAACTTAATTCTAGGGCTGGATTCTCTAATATATTCTAGCGGACTTTGCCTTCAAGCCAGCTAGTGCAGAGAGAAATTGTGAATACAAAGATTTTGTGTTGAACTTATTGAGGTGAATGGCCTCGAATCAAGATTTCCGCATCTAGTGGCTATCTCTGCGCGATGATGTTCATCTGTGAGCCGCGCTATTATCACAGAAAATGCCACAACCGTTAAGAATCCGCGATATGATTCACCTGTGATTGCTTCCTCCATTGGCGTCCAGTTGCTTTCATCTCTTGTTCTCACAGTATTTGCAAAATTTTAATCGATTTCAAATAAATTTAAAAATTTGTGTGTTAGGAATTTAGATTGAAGTAGAATAAGTTAAATTGTAATGGTTCTACTACTTACTCGACGTGTTTATCTCGATTACTGCATAGTGATCAATTTCGATTTCCTATAATAATCGTGATCCCCACAATAAAATCAAATTGTGCTTCTCATTGAACAAAGTTTATCTAAATATTATCATTAATTATTCATTCTATACTCAAGGAAGATTAACAAAGGTTAGAAATGTTACTAAAGGCAAAAATTCATCATTTTGTTTTTTAATAACAAAATACACCTGCCAGTCTAGTTATAATAAACACCCAAATTAAATCAAAATCTCAATAAAAATCAAATAATCGAATATACTCCATCCTACTGATGTTTAATTGAAAAACAAAATCCTGAAGCTTTTTTCGAAAAACTCTTTATCATCGTTATCAAGTCAATATGTTTCCCTAGATCATAAGAAGTTCCATCTCCGTCAAGTGTGTCCTATCGAGTGAACCTCGCGAATAAATAATTAGGCAAACTTTTTATACGTCATCTGTCATTCTAAAGAAATTCTGTCAACCTCTGTCGACAAGTTTAAAGCCTGAGGAATTCGTCAGAACAATTAGCCATGGACGAAAGTTGCGTGTGAAAGTGTAGTGTACATGTAACGTATCTTCAACCTTCTTCTTCAACTACAGGACACTTTCTTTCGTTTTTGACAGTGCGGCTCGTTTCCGCAACGTTTTTTCAGTTTCGTGTTTCACGTTTATTAATTAATATGTACGAGTTTAGGTGTTTTCCCCGTGGCCGTATTCACTGCTTCGCGAAATCGCGATTCTGTAATGTCGCGCTTTCTCCTCGGGCAACGATGTCGAACATCACTCGAAAATCGAGGAGAGCCGTAAACTTGCTTGACTGCATCTATGTACTACCTGGGCAAGTCTTTCGTGCGTTTCCCGTAAACAACCATACCCGTTGCGTAACGCGGCGAGGGGTGTTAATATTTGAACACTTGCCAATTTCTATTTTCACAGGTATATAAAAATTCATTGTTTCTAGATTCAGAATTTCTTTTAATTTTGGAAGGCTAGGAAAATTCATGGAGAATTTTATGAAAACTGAAAGTGCTTTTTTATTTGTGAAAGTGTGTGGATAATTATAATTTAAATTTTGAATTGTTTATTTTATTAATTCAGTGTATGTTGCCAGAATCATTGAATATTGCCATATTTGAACATTGAAAGTCCCCTTGTCGCAGTCAGGAAAATGGAAGCGGACAGTTTCTTGTGTTTTTTTTTTAAGGTATTAAATAATAATTTTTATTAATGAAATGTAAATATATTACAAAGTATGTCTTAAAGAACTATAAAAGAATTTTTGTTTTAAGAAAAAGTTAATTCATTTCGTCATAACAGGCGATGGCGTGGGTGGCCATTTGGTTTGCGGTGAGCAAGATTTCTTCAAACTGGTGCACCTGAAAACAAAACTAAAGGTAGATTTAGAAAATATATTAGACTAACGGGTCCCTGATCGAAATATTTTTTATTTTCTTTTATACTTTTTTTTTTATC